CTATAAATTAGAATAAGATATTTAGTCAAACAATCACTAGAAAACACTACGTAAGGTCTATTATCATTTATTTTTGAAACTCGCATAAATATATCCTCCGCGAATGTGGTAAAAATCATAATAATTCTATTCAATGTGCAACCTTGCGTAACAATTAGTAGGCAGAACACACAAATAGTTGCATAATCGGCAAAGTCGACGGTCGCACGTCCTAGTAAAATACTAGGTAAGCACGATATATTAATACAATAGAAGGTTGAAGCGCCTCAACATGTTTTCTTCCCATTTTCCCTCCCTTAAAGTTTGAAAAATGAAGTAGACGCGGCCATCACCTACTATTTGCCAGAATCTAATAAAAATAACATAATACTAGGTGTTGACGATATTGTCGTTAATTATATTATTTTATGTTTTAAGATATTTCTTTATAAATCTAGAGAAAAAGGAAAAATACCCACTTTATCTTTCTTTTAAAATATTCTGATTCACAACCAGAAAATAGAGTATAAAACGGCCAAATCAAAAGATATTCTTTCAAAGCATACTGGTAAATGGAATAAAACATCCCCAGCATTAGCATAAATAGTTCTAAATGGCAGGGAGCAGTTGATTGCAGTTGTAGATGAGACTGTCAGTTGTCYGAAGTTGTCCAGAATTCTTCACCTAAACTGAAATAGTGTGTGTGTTGTAGTGAAATTTGTCGTATTAGGTTTGTTCCTTCCTGATCGGAAACCCCATTTGCTATTATCGCTGTCCTTGGGATAAACTGTCCGAATGTATATAGGACGCATGTCTAGGGTTCAGGTTATAAGCTATTTATTTTATCGCTTTGCGTTTTTGTTTTAGATTTCTGTTTCCTAAAAAACGTACGTGGCAAGAGTCGCATGGTAGGTGCGAAGATATGCCAGCGGAAATAATTTCTCTAATAAACTACAAACAGTCTACCATTTTGAAAACACCTAAATGGGTAGATGTGAATCGGGTTCCCGTTGAGGAAGGTCCAAAGGGTCTACCGACTAATGATGATATTATAAGGGGTGATGAGTTGCCCGATTTGTCCCTGTTAAACTTTCGTGACTCATAATATTGGAACAGTGCTTGATGTTGTTGAACGGTCTAACATTTTAAAGAATGTTATCAGAATGTTGTCAGTCCCCATTGGATTTAGGAGGGGGGAAATAAATATTGGAGAAGAGAGGGGCTGGTTTGAATTTGGTTAGAGCCTGTAACAACGTATGATTGGTAGCGATGTGGTGGGAAATTTGGGAAGGCCAGAGTTGCCTTTTCATTTTCTTAATATTAACAATAGATGGAGCAGAATATTACACTTTGGCAGTTCTCGAATAACCAAGAACTGGTGATGTAGACGAATAAACCTCAAACTCCTACCTCTTGACATAGTCCATTAACTATGCTCTTGAACTCCTTGAGCTTCTTGAACATCCTGTGACAACGCTGGTTGCTGGGCACCGGCTGCATCACCCGGGTTTCCATTGGCGAATTCTTCCAAGGCTGAACGAACCAAATTCTCAATATCTTGGTCAGCCACCACTTGAGCAAGCCGGGTTAAAGACTTCACAAACCAAAAAACGTACACTTCTTCATCGGTGGTTTAATGAGAGTGATTAATTCATGGCATCTTTTCCCTTTTGTGTTAGTATAAAGTCCGTGARAATAAATATTACTAATTCCTCTGGGACATAATTCACATATTCAAGTTGACTATGAATAGTCATATATATTTGTTTTCAATTCATATCCAGCCATAGATAATTATATCTCTTTTTTCGCTTCGTGTGTGTGTTTTTTGGTTTTTTTTTTTTATTACTGTGTTCTTTAGTTTGTAGCTTCTTTGTTGTAAATGTTGTAAATAGAAATAGAATGTAAAAAGGAGCCATATCAATAAACCTAATTGTGTGATTACAAAAATAAAATAAAATAAATTGTTGTAAATAGAATTTAAAAGGATCTATGTAAATAAGTTGTGCAATTAATAAAGTTTGGAAAAAAAAGAAAAAAAAGACGCCATCAGCTCCCTCTACCGCGGTTTCGCATTTTCCCCAGAACTCACTATTTATTCTATTGTGGAGCATTGTTGCACTTTGAATACATTACTATTAGCTAATAATTAATTACTGTACGTAACTAAATCTTGTTCTCTTTCATAAATACTTTAGACATTATATATATATTACGGTATACGATACATTAATGACCAATTAAAGTGTAATAGACGTCTAAAACGTATTGCTGCTTAACAGGCTAGTAACTGGTTCACGGGTTTTTGAAAACCACTCTGCGGAGTTCTACCGAACTTCCCAATTTGTATGCAAATTTGTGGTATGTGATTGCTTTTTTTCTCTTGATGCTTATTTGAATCATGCAAATGTTTGTCGAATCACATTAAAGAATGCTACATTGATGCTCATTATTGTCCAAACGCGTTATAGATTGTCAATGGCTATGCTAGTAGCACTAACGAATTTTCACTTTTAGGTAAATGATTGTCAATAAACGCAACTGTTTGTCAATTCGTGTTATTTATGTTCGGTTGCGCGCAAAAAGAATATACATTCCGTGGATATGAATGTACAAGCGCGCTATTGATTGTCCATTAATGTCCATGAATGTGGTGTACACGCATATTGAAATATCGTTATTTATCGCTCTAATGCTTTCACTCTAGTTGTTGAATTCAATCAGGCATGGACCAAAAAAAGAAAAAAAAAAAACGCGTAGATTCCTTTAAGAGTCTTGATAGCGCACCCACGGACTTCCAGCTAAAGATCAAAGAGGCGTTATACATCAAATGGGAAAACCCTTCCCTCACAATAGTCAAGTGAAGCACATTAACCTTTGTCTTTCCATGTGGTTTCATTGTATTGTTTTTTCGCATCGTATAACATTGTACTCACTTACATACATATTCATTTATCAATTGCCCTAATTCACTATGACTTCACATCAAAACAATCTAGAGTGACCACAGTAAATCCGTGAAACTTTAGTAATACTAAATAGCACAATTGCATGCAAATTCCATTGTTTTATATTGTTCTAACTAGCACTGTTTTGTAGTATTTAGTAATTAGTGTTTCACGGATTTATTGTGGTCACTCTATTGTTTAAACGCAAAGGATCATGGTCGTCGGACGGGGTCAAATCAACGCAAACTCACCGAAAATTGTTTAGCCTGCAAAGCAGGCGTTCTTGTGGATTTGGGGAAAAATCCGGGGTACATGTTGGGGGAATTTTGGAAAATTGGAACGAGCGAGAATTGAAACCGAGCAAAAAGGAAGTGAATGGGGGAGGGGGCGGGAAGTGGGAGAAGGTGTGTGCAGTCATAAAGCACCCAGGAGTTGGCAGAACGCGAGAGAAGTGTTAGGAGTGTTACGACCCGTAGCCGAGTGCTTCTTGTGTGTTCTGCCAATCCCCAAATGCTTTATAACTCCACACAGCACAGCAAGCAAGTTTCTTATTTCTTTTATAAAATACAAATTTCAACAACCACTATTGTGCTCTCATAAAGCACACGCTCCCAACCAATCAGAAGGAGAGATTTATGACAGTTATTTTGTAATACTATTCAGAGACTAATAGTTGCTATCGCTCATGGAGAACATTTGTTAAAAGACACAAATGATCTCTTGTGTATTTGTTTTTGTATGATGAATGTTCTGGTTCTGGTTCCAAATAGTACTTTTTGTTAGTATTAATTCTGCTTTTATTTCAAGGTTTTACTGCATGCACTCTAATGAGCTTTAATCAAGTATTTTTAAATTAGTGAATTAGGGGGGTGGGGGGTAGAGTGCACGCACTAAAACCGTGAACTATAATTAGTACTAATTAGTACTATTTCATACAGAATCCTTTGTTTTCTATTGTTTATTTATCACCATTTAGTACTAAAAGTTAGTGTTGCTGACAGACAACATTGCGCACAACAAATTTGAATCGGAGTGACACACATTGCAACAAAATCATGCAACATCGCTTGTGTCAGCCTGATGTGTTAAGATATTTGGTCAGCAGTTATAAATGTGGTGCATGCTGATTGGCTGGAAATCTTAAAATGTTGCACGAATGTTGCAGCCATGTTCACATGATGAAATTTGTTGTGCGCAATGTTGCAAGAGTAGAGCACTATTCAACTTCAGATTTGTTGCATGCAACAAGTTTGGGGTAGACACACACTGCAAGAGTCCTGTTGCGTGCAATGTTGCATGCAATGTTGCACCGTGTGTCAGCATGCACCCTAACATAGACAGAAAGAGCATGTAAAATCAGTCAAACAGTGAACTTCAAAGAAAATTATTCAAAGCTCACAAAGATAAAATTTATTAAATTCCAAAAAGATGCCCCAAAAAAATGTTTTCATACAAAATTTCGAATTTTGAAATTTCATACCTTTATGACCTCCCAACTTATTTACTTCTAACTTCACAGTTACACTGATATTTTTACATGTTTTTTTCAGCTATTATTCTTATGTCCTGTGAGTTTTCAAATTACATGATAAAAGAGTTCATTCAACATTGCATCAAATTAACAATAGTGGGTGTTCCAAATGAAGAAATGTATATATCAATATTATGCATCACTTCCAAAAAGCATGAGAGTAACTACGGTGTTAGGGGGTGTGCGGTACACCACATGACACCCCCTTGGATCTGCCCCAGGAGAGTTTGCAAAAGCTTTGAAACTTACAAGGCGATTTTTTAGTTTTAAGGTTTTTACATCAAGGTAAGGATGTTAATCTCTTGTCGTAGATCTTTTTAGCTTCGTCGTTCATTGTGTACATTTCAGACCATGTGATGTCACTCTTGGGGGYTGCCTCTTTCATGCGTAAATATTTCAACATCTTTGTCATAAAAGAACAATAGACCTCTTCGGCTCTGATCCAATGTTGTCCCATTTCAGACCACATGTCATTCCCTAGAGTATCATTTCTTTGTTTAAGGTTTGCACTCGGTTTCACATGAGAAGACACATGAATATGGATACAGCTCAAACAAAGAATCTTATTCTCAAGGGAATGACACGTGGTCTGAAATGGACATACGAAGCTAAAAAGGTCTAATGAACTAAAAAAAGTGCAAAAAACCTTTATAATTACATCTTAGTGTTGACTTTTGTGTTTTTAGTCGAAGAAACTGATGCTATAGGATGGTCCGAGCCAGTAAATGTATATTGAGATGTAACAGAATTATCAGAACCAGTAAAAGTATGTCTCCTGTTAACTTGCTCCACTTCCATTACAGGATCAAGTTTATCGGAACTTTTTGTTAGCTGCAAAGCACTTGCTGGTCTTGGAATTCTGCCTGAATCACTTGGTGAGGAATCGCTTCCAAATGTTTTGGTGTTTATTTGTTGTGAGTACATGATCGGTTTAATACGGAGACCAGATGAACTCAAGTATGGACTAACAACATATGATACGAGGGTTTCAAGTTTTTTATAGTTCTTGTTTGGAGGAGTTGAGTCATGGACACTCTAAATCACAATCCAGCAGAAAGCATAGTTAATGAACAGTTGACATTTATCCATCCACCCTTGCTACCTCCAATGATCCCATGGAAATTTACCCCAAACCCCTCTTTGAGTCCAAGCTCAAAGTACTAACTGCTTAAGTAACAGTCCCCTTCACAGTTTCCTGCGCCATCTTGAAAGGTAGCCGTGCCTCCTTTGCATCGAAGCGAAATGAACGGTGAGCTTGCAATGGTTGAGACATGGATAAATGTCTCCTTAAAAAGATCTCTATCATTGAAAGCTCACCGTTAGTCTCGCTTTGATTCAAAGGCACGGCTACCTTTCAAGATGGCGCAGGGAACTGTGAAAGGGATTATTGATAAATCCATCCTCCCCCTATTTTCTCAACAAAAATCTATTTTCCTGGAAAATACACAAGTTTCATCAAAACATTACAAATTTTACTCAAATCAATGGGTTAAATTAAGTACGAATCTGGTGAGTTATTTTTGATTTTTATCACGAACTAGTGTAGTGGTATATGGAAGTGCAAAGAAATGGCTAAAAAAGAGGGTGATAAGAATAGGGAGAAGAAAGAGCCAACATGAAAGAGAGAAAATAATTAAAATAATATCGTCCAGTTTAAATAATATTTTAGTAAGTTAAGGGAGAAGGAAGAGCCAGCAAAAGAAGACAGAAAAGTATCATTATCCAACCCAATACCAATTTTATTAAGATTTTGTTTGCATCACCCACCCCCATCCCCCCTTATTTCTCACCCAATGAACCTACTTTTGACCTCAAAACACCTTTCACACACAAATCTATTGAATGGGAAAGGGAAGGCTTCAATTTTTCCGTGATATGAATGATTTTTTTTAAGACGACAAAACTTAAGCTTACCTGTAAAACGAGAAGCATTTGTACGACTGCTGCAGGAGGTGACAAAGCCATCTGAAAGGCTTCTTCTAGCTTCGTCTTCAAAACAACTATATCTCTGAACGTTATTAACGACAGATCGCGAACAGAATTCCCATCAGCCGGCTGAAGATTCACAAAAATCGCTTGAACGAGCGGCAGAACGTTGTGGAAAAAATGAGTCCATGTTGTGGCTAGTTTATCGAGCAACTGTGCCCCAGACTCGACTTTGATGTGTTCACGCAGAATGATCATTCCCTTTACAAGAATAGACTCCTTAAAACGCTTACACAACTCGCCATTACCAAAATCAGCTTTCACTAGCTTGACCTTTTCTGTGAGTAAATCAAGTTCTAAGTTGGAAAGCTTTTTCTTTTGGAATAACGCAGTGACCACACTAGTAACGATATGCCAGTCTTCTTTAGAATTCGAAGCGGGAAAACTGAATTTCTTTTCCACTTTTGGGCTTCTTGGCCGCTGCATCATGAGAGAAGAGTCCTTTCTAGAGCCCCAAAGGTCACTTAGTGTTGGAACTGGTGACTTTGCCATTGGGTGGTTTTAAGTAGAGAAGATAAAGCGATTAAATGACGGTAGTAACCGGAACAGAGTTTATGTTCCAAATCCAAAATGGCAGCTGGAAAATCAAACTCTTCCAAATCGCCTCCAAAACAAAAAATCAAAAATACAGAATTTCACCAAAAATCGATACCAAAGACAATTAGATCGGTAAATACTATGTCAACCAAGCCAGGTTTTTCAATATTTAAAACAAAGAAGGATTTTGAATTTTTTAGCGGAGTGAAAATCTTGACAAACAATCAAAGGAAGTGCTCCAAATAAAACATTAGACAGCTCGTGGCCAGGGTCACTCGGGCGTGGTTTGGAACGCCTGGTGATGATTGCAGTTATATCATGTGAGAGTGGTGTGATAATAGGTCAAAGAAACAACTTTTCTTTACGTTACACGTTGTCTACCGAGGTCTTTTGTCTTGGGATTTTGAAGTTGAATATCCATGGCCAATATGCACAAGTAAGTTTGTTTTTAAATTTTTACATGCATATAAAAATAAGTTAGTAATTAAAATTTCTACTCTAGACTCCATTTAGACATACAGTCGTGTCTTTGCAAATTTACTTTCATGCTTTTGAAAACGTACCTCACAACAAATGATAAGACGTTTTCTATGAAGCTTAGCTAAAGCATATTTTATTTTTCAAAAAATAAAATAAAAATGATCTGACGTTTTCCATGAAGCATAGCTAAAGCATATTTTATTTTTCTTATGTAGCATATAAATTATACGACGATAGAGGCGCAATACATAAGAAAAAAAAAAAAAATTAAAATGATCTGACGTTTTCCATGAAGCATAGCTAAAGCATTTTTTTTTTCCTTATGTAGCATATAAATTATACGACGAAAGAGGCGCAAAACATTAAATCTATATAGAATAACATAAGCTAATCAGTCTTATTTTCAGTATGTTATGCTGCTCGAGGTTTGCATTAATGATTTCTTTCAACCCATACGTAAAACTTAAGAAAATGTTAGCATGTATGAGTACTAGAATAGTTGTCTTATATTATGAAGTGCTAATAGGTATTTCTTTTAAATATTTCAAAAAAGAAAGTAGCACTAATAAATAGTTCAAAGCTAGATGCCACTCCCTGGACAGTAGCTGTAAGCTAGCTTCCTAGCCCCAACTGTGAGCGATTGAGGCAAACCACTGTGAAGGGTGTGTGTGATTTAAGCTTGACGTGGCACACTACAGCATGGTGATTATGATATATTTACATAGGTTCCAGGTTAAGTCTGCAACCAATATTCTTTATGGAGCTTGCCACCTTTTAAACAAGTAAAATCTAATAACAAGATAGCAAACTGTATGATAACTGTTTTAGCCTTCAAGTAAAGGAATACATTTGTTACCAATTTCCTCTTGAAGTACAAAAATTTCAGTAAAGAAGTGTTGGCTGCAAGCTAGAGTCTAGACGATTCATTACGTCTAGAATGTGTTTTTGCCGTGAGCCACCAGACAAGGAGCAGCACATGTATTAGTATCTTTGTCTTTCTTTCAGCTCTAGTTTTGGGTTTAAAAACCAGCTCTATTTCTGGGATCTTTGTGTAATTGTAATGGTTTTGGGATCTTTGAGTTAAACTGAAACTGTTTCGGGACCTTTTGAGTAATTCTTAATGAGCACGCCAGGCAAGTGAATAATCACTATGAAATGTTATGGAGTAACATCGAACTTGATAAATCTCCAAATTCAAGGTTTTAAAGAACTTTAACCACCAGGTTTTGCCCAGGATATATGCACAAATTATGTTAAATTCGTCCCTTGTTTGACTAGTAAACACATACAGTCATATTAGCACTAGGTAACGACAGTTACATGTTGGAATGTAGATGGAATACTGGCAAATATATAGCTATCACAATGAATTTGAAAGTAAAAATGCTAAATAAATTATAGACTTTTTACTTCCTGGTGATTTTCAAGGCAACAAAGTACATATCAAATAAAATAACAAAATGAAAGACCAAAAGAAAAACGAAAGCAATAACTTTCACATAATAGTCAACCTCAAATTACTGCCATGAGCTTTATAGCTTCACTCAGCATGCGGGCACATTTCCTATTTCTTAATTCTAATTACAATATCCCTTAGTGAAAATCCTGGACAGGATTCTGTCCAGGACTATATTCCTATGTAGGATCTTGTAAGATCCTGCAGGATCCTGTGCAGGATTATATCCCTATGTAGAATCCTACTACGTGTCAGTATGATCGATCCTTTATAGGACCCTGTCTAGGATAAAGTTCCTAAACAGGATTCTGTCCTGGATTTGAGCACATTAATGTACTGTATTTTTTTTTTTTTTTTTTTTTTTGCAATATAAAGCAAACAAAAAGGGAAGAATCTGTATTTATTTTTATAAATTGATATCTACATGTATGGTTTGACTGCTAAAAATAGGAACAGAAAAAATTCAACCACAGTATTCTTTCATGAAAATTAACAAATTACAATAGCTGTTATTTTGGGTAGGAATGATGCAATAGTGCAAAGTGGAGTGTTTCTCAGACAAGCCTAATCTTCACGGATGACTAATTAAAGCTAGTATAAAAAATTCCAATACTAGACCATTTTCTCAAGGTTGCATACCCATCCAAATTTAAGGAACTTGACATGCCACGATACTAGAACAGGAGCTTGATAATGAGAATTATCACACATTTCTATGAGATTTTTCAACAAGAATTCATATAATCGATTATTTTCCTCTTTAAGTGGAAAAGTGGCTTCTTAATTTTATTAAATTTGCGTTTTTCAATTTTGTGGCCCATCAAGTTAGATGGGCATGCAACCTTGAGAAAACGGCCTATTACAAGGATGCCATAATATTGGATTCATTCCTAGAAGCTACCACAGGAACCCCATAACATCACACTGTGTGCTTTCATAAAGCACGCCCTCCCAACCAATCAGAACACAAGATTTATAACAATTATTTTTTAATAACATATGTACCCATTTGATATTTTTTAAGGTCAGGTGACCAATTAGTGAAAATTAACTCTTTTTGATTTTTGATTTTTTTTTTTTTTTTTTTTTGGTTTTGTTGCAGTCTTCCTGCTCCAGTGGAAACAACATCCAACCCTAAAGATGGCAAGTGGGATGGAGTGGTACTTGTATGTGAGAATCTAGACTGGAAGTGTGAGCCTATTGAATTCCTCAAGGATCCCATCAAGGCCGCACAAAAGGTTTGAATATAGCTACACTGTAAAGGATTAATGTGGGGATTTATAGTAGTCAGAAGTACGTGTACCCCAAAGAATTTAACGTTTTTTCGTGAATTAGACTTGAAACTTTACTAATTAAATTACTAAAGCAATCAGGAACAAGCAATAATCAAGCCAAGATCTAAATATACCTTTTATATAGCTAATAGAACACTTTATTTTCGTTTCATTATATTTTAGTGACACTGATTCATTTTATGATTTTTTATTAGAAGTCATGAAAATTGTGAAGTTCATAAAGTGTCTTTAAAATTTGATGGCTGTCTTTGAGTGATATGTCATTAAAATACCTAAGACTAAAGGTTATACATTGTGAGCCCCTGTAACAACATAATTACAGGGCTGTCAACCCCCRAGATATTCAAATCTGGAAAATTGATAGGGAAGGGACATGACGTCACAGTGCGTCAAAAAGCGTGCAAAAAGACGTCTTTCGCTTTGTAACATTTGATGTGATTGATTTATTTCTGACCAATCAGATTATCGCTTCTATTAAAAAGGCCTGCTTGCAAGAACAGTATATAAGGAACGTTTTGATTTTGTTAGCAATGTAAAATAACACCAACAAAATGAAATAATAGACCCGTTTTGAATTCCAAATTACCGCTGTGTTTCTTGATTACAGACTCATTTGCACAGGGTTAGCCTCGAGTTTGTGCAGAATATTCACGTGTTCCAGTCAAGGTCCGTCTAGTTTCAAAGTGTTTGTATTGTTGAAGTTGTGCATTCTTTACTTTACTGTTGGTATTTGTGAATATTTAAACACTGATACGAGGCTAACCATGTGCAAATGAGTCTGTAATCAAGGAACACAGCAGTTATTTGGAATTCGAAACTGGTCTATTGGAATTTTATGGTTGTGAAAGTCTAGTCTCACAAGACAAGAAATGGTCAGCTTTGGGGATTATCCGGGAGATTTGATACTCTAATCTGGAGACCGGGAGACACAGCCCAAAATCTGGAGACTCCCGGTTTATCTGGGAGAGTTGACAGCCCTGTAATTATTATCTCTATAATCATTTTTTTTCTTTGTACATAAGGTGGACAAATCAGCTGGATCAGATGTTCTTCTTTTTCCTCTGTCAGAGGGACCACCATTTGTGGTGAGAATCTTTTCTAATATTATTTCAAGCTATAATTAAAATTACTTTTTGTTTATAGGTTTGAATAGACCTAGATTATTAATTTTTTACTGCGATTCCCAGTCACACGCGACCAACTAGACCTTCATCACAAACAAAAAATTGGATCTGGGTGGACGTCAATCAAAAGGGTTTCTATCATTCCTATTGGTTTCTACACCAGGACTGATGTGAATTAACTCACGTGTACACGTGCAAAGTGCAAAAATCGTTGTCCTTATCTCATGCTTCTTGTCGCTGTGAATTTCGCACTCTGGATATATTTTCTCAAAAATGTCACAGGATTCTGGCTCCGAATCTTAACGCTTGATTGCAAAGCTATCGCTAGGGCTATGATTTGAGTTTCTTCAAGATAGGATAAGTCAATACTGATAGTTTGCAGTTAAACGTTTGAAATTCGGAGTCGGAATCCTTAGACATGTTTAAGAAACCCTTTTGATTGCAGACGTCTACCATAACTCAATTTTTGGTTTGTGATTTTGGTCTCACTTGGTTGCATGTGACTGGGAATCGCAGTAAAAGTGTCATCAAGACAAAACAGATCATCTGTAGTGTATTATTGCTGTTTGCTTGACTAATGATGAAAACATGA